TGTGTTTTTTTTTTTTTGCTGTTTTCATTTATAAATCCTTTGGTGTATAACGGCCTTCTGACATTATGTGCTACAGACTTTTGAATCCATTTTATCTCTGCTGGGTGTCTAAATTAGGGGAAAGATGAGCCGTCGATGAAATGGAATGAAAAATCAAATAAAAACTTAGAAATAACTTCTTTATAAGCCTCAGGATATAATGACTCCCTGGTCTCTTAATTCTGAACTCATCCCTTCCGCATTCCATGGAAGCAAAGTGACGTTTCATCTGTTTGCTGGCCATTTTTTAATTACCACAAATGTTAAAACAAACAGACCACCAGAAGTGTGGGTCTTTCAGCTGCTGTAAGGCTCATGGCTGTTTCTATGGCCCAGGAGTGCAAATTTATTTATTTTCAAAATTTTTGTTGTGGTTTACCACTTCATTCGCTGCTCCCAGAAGCCTCCAGAAATGGCCATGTTCCTCGAAAGCCCCATGTAAGACTTCCCAGGCGTCGTATCGGGTTTGCATGAACAATCAGTCCATTTAAAAACGGTCCGCTTGCCCCTGGCATCACCTTGGGGTGGAAAAAGTCCCCCCCCCCCCCCCCTGCGATCCTGTTAATAACCTCCCTCTTTCTCCTCTCTTGCAGATTTCCACAAGACAGCACCCTATGTGGTCACCGGCAGCGTAGATCAAACAGTGAAAGTGTGGGAGTGTCGTTGATCGAATCCGCAACCGACCCTCCCGCCCATCCTCCCTTCCCCTCCGCTGGATGCACTCGGATACCATGGTTACCCATTGAGCTCTGTTTAAAATAAATATTGTCCTTTCATGTAAATTATTCTGGATGTAGATTGAGCTTATTAAATGTTAAACACAAAGTATTCATGCATGGTGAATCCAAATTGTATACTGTAAATTTACATACGTTGTCTAGAAGTACCATAGGTTTTAAGGACACGGGCTTGGCATTGGTCACATCAGACCGGAGAAGGCAGAAGCTGGTTGGTTGAATTAGGGGCATGGAAACCCAGTGGGAGCAAAATTCTGCGCTGGATGAATCGAACACCCGTTCTTCTTCTGTCGGGTGGTGCCTCTAACTNNCATGGGGCGGGAACCTCTTTCCGAAACACGTATCTCTTGTAACATCACTTAAGTGTGCTTAAGAAATCTAAGGATACTAGATAAACAAGGCTGCAACTTAGAATCTTATGTAATTAATGAGAACTAATTGAACCTGTTTTTTTCTCCTCCTCCTCCTCCTCTCGCAATATATTCGCCCAATCCATAGGATATATTTTTATTTTGGCTTCCTATCACGTCGAAAGAAAGAAGGAGGAAGGTCGTCTTCATCTCCTCTAACATGCTGCGGTGTAGGCGGAGGGACCTCGATTATGATGCGTGACGTGGAAAATTCCCTTGATTCGGTGGTTGACGGTTTCTTGCATTCTGATACTTTCCGTATGAAGTGTGTCTTTGAGAAGGCTGTCGGTCTCGCTCGAACCAGTGTCGGTCGACTCCTTACAGTTTGGCGCGTTCTCGCCCTCGGCCGTTGTGTGTGTGTGTGTGTGTGTGCTGTTAGGTTCCGACAGGACAAACGCCCGTATCCAAAGGTTTAACTCCTCCCCTTTCCCCAGTTAGCCCATCTGCGGTAATGACGAGGGCCGGTTCTTTGCAGATAGTGCAGCCTTGGATGGAAGCAGGATCCGGGGGTGGGGGGTGGGCAGAGATTGAAGTGTGAAGCTTGTGAACTTGTTTGGGGTGGAGAGGGGACCGTCTGTATACTAACCGGTCGGTTGCAAACTTCTGGGTAAGTTTTCAGACGGCTCAGGAGCGTCACAATCCGCATTTTTTCAGTTTAAATCCAGCAGCTTGCTCCTGTTAATTCGGTTAAAGCGAACTTCAGTGTTTTTCTCGGTGTGGAAGCTTCTTGCAGTTTAAAGAGCGGTAAAACTGAACACACACACACACACACACATATCCTTGAATCAACATAATTCGGTCAAATTCTCTTAAGAGTATTTAAAAAACCCACTGAAAGTATGTTAACAAATCTGTCAGCCTGATAGATTTCAACATATGAAGCTGTTCTGTTTTGTTTTATTCTCCGGCTTTTAAATGACTGCTTTATTTAAAAAGAAAAAAAGGGGGGGGGAAGCCATATGTCATTAGGGACAAACCTATATAATTGGCAAGTTTAAATCCACCTGATTTTTTTTTTAAAAAGACTTAAATCACCTACTTTGGTTTCACCCACACAGGAGAGACCTGCTTTTCTTGCGTCCGATTTCTTGTCCCAGAGCTTGGAGGCGAGAGGTGACCTGTAGCTAGCAGGGGTTCGGGAGGTTTTGATATCTTTTGGCAGTGGGGGTGGGGGAAGTCAACAAAAAATCTTCATCCAGATGAATCACATTTGAAGTCTTATCCTAGTTTTTAATGCTGTTTTTGGCAGGAAACATGTAGCTCTTGTTTTGCCTTTTGACAACTTCTGAAGCGGTCATAAACGTGAATCATACCATGCTTGCTAGCAGTTACTGAAAGCCAATCTTGTAAGTCGTAGCACTTCCGGCTATTTCTTGTAAGGGTTACAAAGCTAGGCCCTTCCGTTAGTTGACCTAATTGGCGAAACAAAGGTACCTTATTGACATGGGAACTTGACCACTATTTATTTTATCTTCCTTTCTCGAAACCCTATGGACGCATTTCTCGCCTTTTCCGGCCCCTCTGGTTTGCTCGTGGAGAAGGGAAACCGGCTTGGATTAACTTTTAAGGTTGCAAGCTACAGAGGTCTGCAGCCAACTCGGTGACACGCAGTGCAGTAATTTCTCAGGGATGGCTGTGGAGTGGAGCAGCAGGTTATTGCCCTGGTTTTAAAATAAAACAAAAAAAAAAAGCTGAAACGGTGACCCTCTGGCAGCAATGGCGGTGCTGTGCGCAGTTGTCTTTTTGGCGTTGGTCGCTTGCGCCTGGTTGTGTTTCATCTCTGGCTAGCTCTGTGCCTTTTTCTTTTTTTTCCTCCAGGAGCCGTGAGCGCTGAGGTTTTGTCAGTTTGAATTGGAAGAGGACATTAAAAAAAAAAGCTTTAGAGGTTCACTGAGAAGCGTTTCATTTTGGCAGGTTAGTTAGTTGGTCCCTGAACAAACCCATTCAAAGGCTCGTTCTCTTGAAGCCAGATCCTAAACAAGGCTCGCATGGATATCGCACATGCGTGCGCACACAAACCGCTTGAACTGCCCAAGCTCTCGATGCATCTCCCTCCACCGCCCGCCTTTTCGTGTGTGTGTGCGTGCGTACATGCGCATGGTTTCAACACAAATCTGATGTCTCAGAGCGTCTTGCACTTTACCATTTTTGTTTTGTTTTGTTGAAAAGCCGTCCTGCTTTTGTGTGTGGTGTGACCAATGATGTGCCCAGAGCACTAGGAGTGAAAAATAAAATTAAAAAACAAACAAAAACAAAATACTAGTGGCTAGCAAGTTGTAAAGAGCACTGTAGAATTTTGGAAGTTGTCGGCTTGTTGTCTCACCGAGCCCTTTTCCCCACCCACAACCTGGCCTGTTCTGGGGGGGTGTCCCCGACTGCTTCTTCTTCTATTCCCCCCCCTTTTTAATGTGAACTGAACTGCCTATTACAACCATTTAAAAACATCTGTCTCTTCCCCTCTCCTCCCTCTTGCCTCTCCTGTTTCTCAGTCCACGAGAACATTTTTTAATTATTTTTAAAGCTACATTTTGGGTTTCTTGCACAGTAGAGGTTTGATGATCTCAAGATGGAAATTTGGAGGCAACATTTCTGGGAAGGGGGCGAAAAGGAATAATTCTCTCCGTTTCCATATTCCGTCTGCTTTCAGGTTTTTTTGCAAATAATGTCCCAAGGTACTTAGCGAATGCAAACCCTGTCTATTCAAAATGCGGCAGAAGCGATGTGTATAAAAGGGGTGACCGTTGTTTGGGAGATTTGGGGGAGAAAATGGGGCTGGGGGCGGTTGGGTGGGGAACAGAAGGTTAAGTTGAATTGACAAGTCACCACTGGATGTTAGCCAGCCTTTTTATTTATATGTCCTTTTTCCACTGTGTAAGTAACTGCTTTCTTGTCCTGAACATATCCTTCAAGCTTTCCAGAGTTTGTTCTGAAGAGATTTAGCAAAAAACCTTCCACGTTTTTAGACGTTTGATCCTGACACTGACATGAAGACGAGCATCTATTATTATTATTTTTTTTCATGGAGAGCGGTGTAGAGATTGCCGTTGGATAAAGTTCCTTTCCTCACTCCCCTCAAGACTGTAGGAGTTAACCGAAGATATTGACACAATTAAAATAAAAAAAAAATCAGTAAAGGAATGTATATAATACTGCTCTGTGTTTTACAGTAAGATTTGTTGCTCTCTCAGACTGTGTAAAACAAAATTTATTCATGTTTTCTGCATATTAAAACAAAAATCTTATTGTACCAATTGGTAAACTATTAAATGCATATAAAATTAAATGTTTCTCTTGGGGTGTGTGTGTGAATGCATATAAAATTAAATGTGTTTGGGAGTTCTAATCCCCCACGGCACCTCCATCCCCCAATGATCCCTAGGGTCCCTTCCAGCTCTGCCGTTCTAAGAGGATGCCGACAATTCAATCCATTCGCCATCCAGGGCAGATGCTCTCGCGTCATCACCTTACTTGGGTTTGTGCTATTCCCAAAACATGAACTTAAGCCCCCTTCTCATGATCAGAAATGGACATGGGAGGGGGGTGCCCCTTACACCTGAGAACGGCTGCTTTGGTTGAGCCCCCTTTACATGATGCGGGATGCCAACACGGTTACATGTGAAGAACGGAGTCGCAGGGGTGGGGGGTCCCTTTGCCTGCCTGGCAGCTTCACCTAAGTTGGTGAGCCTGCTTAGTCTGTTGGAAGGACCTCAGGACACGAGCGGCTGCCGCCCAGCAGGTTTCTGGGCCACCAGAAGGGGTCACGGTCCCCAAGGAGCGGATCCAGCCAGGACCTGTCCCATCAGGTTGATCTTGGGGGTCCCTCCATGGGGTGGGGGCCTCAGATGGAGCAGAAGTCCTCCGTTGAGGTATTCCTTGCTTCCAGAGGGTGGGGGCTTCTTTGGAAGCTGTCTCTGAGCCAAGCACCTCGTGACTTGGCCCAGGCTCCCCGTGAAGTTATGCTTTTTGGGGAGCCACGAAAGGCCCCCTTTTCTGACCATGGCCGGGAACGGAGCCCAAGGCTAACGGGGATTTGGGACTCAGCCCACGGTGGTTACGTGGTCCTGGTGCCCCCGTCTGCTGGGAGGTAGATGGAGGCCCTGCCTGCCACCACCAACACCACGTGGAAACGAATCTTGTGTTTCATAGCCGGGGAACTGAATGCTTTGGGCTCAACCCAAAGACTGTAAAAACCCTCACAAAGCACACACCTCCGATTGTGCCAGATCGGGTTGGCAATTAGTATTGAACCGGAGGGGTGGGGGCTGTAATTTTGACCTAAATTCATCTTAACACCCCAATGAGCAGCAGTGTCATCACAGGGAAAAAAGTTTTATTAACCTAATTAGTATTGATTCTGCTATCGGGTGACCTCATTCCATTCTTTCCACCGAGACAATTTCACCTAGACAGACCCTTCATTTCCCACCACTTATTATTTCTTACTCCGCTCTAAAGTGAGTCCTGGGTCCTCTTTCGGACCACTTTGCATCTACAGGCAGCCGGGGGGGGGGGCAGGCACCCCGGCACCCTTTTTTTTCACTAGGCATTCATTCACCGGAGGGGATGGCTAGTGGAGTGTCACTGGGAGGGGGGGGTTGGAGACCCCTTTTTAAGGGCTTAAGAGTGAGCCCTCCATCCATGTCCGAAAAAGCCGTGCGTCCGTGGTGGTATCCAAGGAAGGCGGCTTGTTTGAAAGATGTTCTCGGACCCCGTTTTCTTCTTGGGGAACAAATGTGCGCAGGATCCAATCCCTTTTGTCTTTGAAACCAAACCGGGGACATTAAAATAATAGTCATAGAAAAGGAATCCAAATGTTGCCAAGAGGCAGTTCAGCCCTTTAACGGGGCAAGCCACTTGCACCGCCAAATTCAACCCCCCCAGCACGAGGGGAGTTCAGGAGCACCTCTGGGCTGTGGGGGGGTGTCTCTGCCCCCCCCAGCCAGCGATGACAGCACTGCCGGGACGGCATGAAAATGGCCTCCCAAGAAGTAGGGGGAAAGCGAAGCCGTTGTCTTCTGGTACATCAAAACCCGCCGCGTTCCCCCTCGAGTTTCAGCCTGAACTGCACGGGAGTCCCAAATTGCAAATCCCAGCCAAGCATAAGACTGATTTCGGACGACAAGTTACAGCTCTCACCCGGGGGCTTCCAAACCTAGCATTCAACAAGAGTGCATCCTCCCCTTCACGCTCCCCCCACCCCACAATACGACTAGAGGTGACTGGTATCCCCCGGAGGGCACAACGTCTATAAACCTGCTCCATTCCGCCTATGAGGCAGTAAGTTGGCAGCTATCGCCACATCTTGTGGCAGTGAGTCCCACAGCTTCACAGAATTCTGTGTGAAGTTACTCCTTTTATCCATGTGGGGGGGGAGGGTTCCGCCACACTTATAAGAGGCTAGAAAAGGGGAAAAAATCCCCTGGCCCCAGTATCTACCATCTACATACCTTTTGTCATCCATCCATCCCTTTTTGGAAGCTAAACCACCCAACTATAGTAACTTCTACTCACAGGAGTCTTCTTTCGATCCTTCGATCGTTTATGGCACCCCTTTCCATGCTCAGAGAACACCACCCCCTGGTTCAGTCCCAAAGCTCCACGGTTCGGTGTCTCCTCCCTCCTGCAGAAAGCCACCCCTTCCTCTACTCTTATTTAAAGGGGGGCTTGCCTAAACGAGCAAAACCCGATAGAAAAAACAGCTGCCCTGCAATTTGAAGGCTGGATTCAGATTAGGGCCGGAAAAAAGGGCGCTTTGTCTTGGTTTGTGGTTCGTTGAAGGCCACGAACCACAAATTTCTGAACTTTCCTGCGACGAATCACAAATCAGCCCACTGGTTCTTCCACTCCAGCCCCCCCCCGGAAATCCTCGCTGCCGGCCGGCCGTCCCTTCCCGCGGGCAAGGGTCACCTCCCTACCTCTCTTGCGGCCGCTGCCTCCTTCGCGGCCATGGCCGCCATCTTGAGATGGTCGGCTGCCTCTGCAACTCGAGATAGGAGGCAGCCACCCTGGGATCCTGCAGAGCGGCGGCTAAGGAAAAAAAAGTTTTTAAAACAGCTAAGCGGCAGCATCTCCTGAACTAACTAAAAATAAAAAGTAAGTAAATAAATAAATAGTTTCCCATAAATACAGGCTCCTGTTTTGTATCCGACCGTTCTCCGACAGACCGGAGCAGCTCAACTCTTTCCAAGGTTTCTGCTGACACACCAAAACCGCCCATCTCTCAATTTTTTACTCTCGCCTAGCTCAGAGCTCGAGACCTCAGGAGCTGCGGAGCTCGGGGTTGGGAGTTCGAATCCCTCCACGGGGCCAACCTTGGCAAGGGCTGGACTGGATGATCCCACAGAGTCCCTTTCTCAGCTCTGTAATTCTAAGGCATCGTTATTATTAAGCAGAAATACAATTTAGTCAACGGAAAAAAATAAATAAAGACATCTATGACGACTGATTTCCTGTACTGTAAGAGCAAGAAAGCTGTGATTTGAATGCGCTTGCAGATGGCATTTGGGAGGAGTGTCTCTGCGCTTCCATTGCTCAAGCTCCCCCCCCCGGACTGCATTTACGTCAGACCATCCCAAAAGACCTTTCGGGGTGTCCGAAGAAGCTGGCCGTGGCCCACGAAAGCTCACGGGGGGGACCCCATCTTTCTCGTTTTGACGATACTCCCTTGCATTTGGGACTCCCTTTCTCCACCCCCCCGCGTCCACCTGTCGCTAGCCCTAGGAGGCTCTTCCGAGTGGGGGGCAGCCCCAGTAAGAAAAGGCCAGTGGGTTTGTCGGGGGGGGGCAACAGGCGGGAGGATGACTGGTAAATTGGGAGCCTTTCTGGAAGGCCAGTGGGTTTGTCGGGGGGGGGGCGACAGGCGGGAGGTTGACTGGTAAATTGGGAGCCTTTCCAGGGCCAGCCCTCCTCCGTGTCTCCCTGGGAAAAACGGGTCCAACCTCCGTGGTTCCAGAGACAATTATTATTAGTATTATTATTATTTGTTTTATTTATATCCCGCCTATCTGGTCGAGTGAAATCCCAGAAGACTGAAAAAAAAAAGAACATCGCTCCCTGATATAACGCAAATAACCGTTTCTGGTGCCATCGTATTTAATGACATTTATTATTTCACCCAAAGGGAGAGAGAAAAGCAAGAGGCTTTGCTGTTTTCAGTTCATGATTCTTGGTTTTTAATACATTCACAGATAAACCTTTTTTTGGGGGGGTTGGGAGGGAAGAGAGAAAAGTAGACATTGATTCAGCTCAACTGCCAGAGTTTTGACCGAACGGCTTTTCTGCTGGAAAACACACACCCGCACGCACACACACACCCCTGGCCGCCACACTCCCCCTCCTTCTGACTAGGTGGGATTTGGCCTCCCGGGTCCCAGTTCGAGAGACGCTCTCTCCAAGGCGCAGTCTTTCTTTCCCACAAAGGGCGCAAGTCCTTGAGAAGACCGGGGTGGGAGGGAGATGAGCCAGAAAGGTGGGCGCGTGGAAACCTTTAAGGGGTCCGCGAGAGCCATCTTTCCATTCCTCGGGAGCTGCTCCTCCGGCAAGAGGAGAAGCCGCCAGAAAATCCACAGCGGTTTCTCAAGGGGGGGCGTGGGGGGGCAGTGGTGTGTACCCCTAATTCGGAGGAGGACTGACACGGCTCTCCCTTCAAAGCCAAGGGTGTGGGAAGGGAAGGCCACCAAAGGAGGCGGTTTGTGACCCACAGGCGGCAGGAGGTCCCCCCCCTTCCGCAGGCACTGGGGAAGCTTCCGCTGCCGACGGGGAAGGCCGAGGAGGCGTTTCAAACTTTCGGGGTGCTTTAAGGAGAGGCCCAATGAGCTCAGCTCCTCGGCAGGACCAGATCCGTGGGAAGGTGTCCCGGCGGTTTCCACCAGCACCGATCCGGGACCTTCTTTGGCCCCCGGCTTCGAAAAGGAGGCAGCCCCCCCCCGGCCGACAACGCACCCAACTTTTGCACTTTTTCCAAATGCAGGCCAATGCAGAGAAAGATGCCTCCCCCTAAGGCAAGGAGGTCCGCCAACCCCTCCACCCTTTTCCAGAAAAACAACCCACAATTGTCACACACACACACACACACACAGATGCAGAGGGAAAAGGAAGAAACGTTGAACCCAAAGGGAAGCCCGAGGCCGTCTCCTAAACGTGGACAGCGGTTTCTCCTGCATCGCCCTCACAACCTCGGCTCGGTCTTTTCGACCCTGTTCAGGCTATTTAAAAAAAAAAAAAACATACCAAACCAAAACCAAAAAAAAAAAAAAGCCACCAATTTTTTACATTAAAAATATGGCTGAATTTATATTTCATATATAATATTTATAGTGTTACGATCGCCTGAGCAAGGGTCTGGGGGCCGAGGACCGAAGGTCAGAAGGAGAAAAGAAGAACTCCGGAAAGGGGGGGGGGGTCTCGGCAGAGAAGGAGCAGCGTTTCTGCTCCTCACACAGTGACGTGTCCTTTAAAATCAACATTTTAAAAAAATGACCTGAGAAACATTATTATACCTCCAACTTGGAATTAAATCTCTTATGTACACAGTAGAAATGGCTTGATGGTTGGACACAGACGCACGCACACATACCCACCGCTCCCCTCCCCGCATGCCTCTCTTCTCTGCCCCCCCTCCCCGCTTCAAAAAATGCTGGCCTCCACCTCCCGAGTCCGGGCCGCGCCGCTCTGCACACCGGTCGTGGGGCAGTCCCACCCTGCGCTTTGGACAGCCGGGTGCCAACCTGCCCGGGAACGATTTGATTGCGCTGAAGATTTCATTCTTTTGCGTTGTATTTTCATGGTACCAGTGCAAATTAAAAAAAAACAAAACCCAAAATATTGCCCAAAGGGGAAGCCATCCTGCCACGAGACTCAGCCACGCCAGGAATCAGACTCCATTGCAAAAACAGAACGAAATAAAACAAAACAAAAAAAAGCCCCCACCCCACCCCCGGTGCCCCGGATCAGCTAAACTAACTCGAGCAAGGTCGCTCTGGGCTAGGGCGTCACGGGGACCGACTGACTCTCCTCCGGGGGCTTTTCTTCCGATTCTGGATGCTCTCCGCCCTTCAGAGCTTCTTGCAGCTGCTGCCGTCTCTGCACTTCGGCTTTCAAGTTTTCCAAATCTTTTTGGCTGCAGAGAGAGAGAGAGAAGAGAAGAAAACTAACTATGATAATTATAAATTTGGGATCCATGCACGGCAGGGTCAGGAGAGAGATCTGTGAGCGAAACTCTGCTCTTTTAGTCTACATTAGGGGAAGGCCAGTCTCCAAATCTCATGAAGTACTCGTTCCCTTCCAGTTATCAGTGGTTAGGCCTCACCTTGAGTAATTGTGTCCAGTTCTGGACCCCGCACTTCAAGAAGGATGCTAACAAATTGGAACAAGTTCAGAGGAGGGTGACAAGGATGATGATCAGGGGGCTGGAAACCTAGCCTTAGGAGGAAAGGCTGAAAGAACCAGGCATGTTTAGCCTTGAGAAAAGTGGACTGAGGGGTGATAGGACAGCACTTTTCAAATGCTTGAAAGGTAAACCTCCAGAGGAGGGGCAGGATCAGTTCTCTGTCATCCCGGAGTGTGAGACACGTAATACTGGGCTCAAGCTCCAGAAAGCCTCAATCTTCAGGCTGAGTATCAGGAAAAACTTCCTAACTGTTTGAGCAGTATGACAAAGGAACCCTTTACCTCGGGAGGTGGTGAGCGTTCCCACTTTGGAGGCATGCAAGAGATAATTGGACCACCCACAGTCAGATCTGCTTGGGTTTAGATTCCTTGCCTTGAGCAGGGGGTTGGACTCCATGGCCTCTGAGGCACCTTTTGAACTCCATGATTTTATGATGCTATGATTCAGGACTGGCAGGCAAGCAGAACTGAAGGCTGGGGGCTACAAAAGGCTGGCACAAGGGAGCGCCATCAGCCTCCCTTTGAGCAAGGGATGGGGTGGGGGGCGCCCGAGAGAACCAAATTCGGAAATCCTGCCCAAGCTCGGGACTTTCTGCGATGCGGCACTACAATGCCCATCCTTCCCAGCCAAGCCAACCATACCGACTCGGGACGACAGAACCCGCAGCCGGCCCTTTTTGACCCAACACGGTCTGCCGTGGAAAGAGCGGTGCCCGATTCACCTGCTGGGTTTCAAACAATCCACAGGCCCTTTTTACTCGCGAGCCCATCATCCTTTTTTTTACCTGAGCGGAATGAAGAGGATCCCATTGATGATGTTCAGCTGCTCCAAGACGCTGGCCATACTGGGAGCCGTGAACTACAGCGAGGAGAGAGAAAAAGCCGACGTGGAAGAGGCCGGTCGCGCCGTCGGGGGCAACGTTTACGACACAACCTCACACCCCCCCAGGAGCCTCCAGGGAAGAAGGGCAATTCCCCCATAAAACCAGCACCCCCCCTGTTTTATCTCCCCCCACCCGGAGCACAACACCCAGCCCCACCCACTTACTTTCAAGGGCACGATGTTGGCGTTCGAACCGTTCCGGTAGATTTCGTTCATTGTGCGTTGGAGGGCCACGGCCTGCTGGGTCAGGTATTTCAAATACTCCGAGCTTTCTTTGGTCTTCTCGTGGTGCTCGCCGAGCTGGCCGCCAAAACACAGGAACGAGTAAAAAAATAAAAAAAATTAAAAAAGGGGTGGCAGGGGGGAAGAGATTATAGCAACGTGGTTGAATCACATCCGAATCACAGACACGCTGCTCTTAAACATGGAGGCTCGACAAAGTGTTCTTGACTGAATGGCTATCGATCGCTTTGTGAGTTTCTTTTAAAAACATAGCTGCTCCCCACCCCAAACAGAACAGGGGAGGGGGGATCACATAATTTGTGAACTGTTATGATTTCTCTCCAAAAGGGCTGAGAATAATAGAACCCCATGATAAAAAAATCAACGCATAACTGGGCCCTCAAGACGAAGAGTAAGACGATGGGGGGGAGGGGAAGACTGCCGTTCAGGAATTGCCGTTCAGGAATGCTTGAACTACCTTTCAAGTTGGCCTTCCTTACTTGAACTCCGATACACACGACCCCCCCCAAAATTACACACTGTCCCTTCCTGCCCTGCCCCAAACCAAGCGTTCTGCCCCTTTTCTAGAAAGTGGAAGGGCTGGTGGACATTCTGTGGCCCCCTTTGCCCTGTTCCCCAGGGAAGAAGGCACGAAAAACCTAGTCATTTATTGACACCAGGACCCTCATATCTATGGGGATCACGTCCAAGCCCCTTGTGCATATCTATGGGGATCACGTCCAAGCCCCTCGTGGATGCTGAAAACCGTGGATAATGCAGAACCCGACACACAGCAGTCTCTGGCTCCCTCTAATGACCATAATGCATAAGCACATTGTGGAAATACATCCTTCTGGGCTTTTTCTTTTCATATTTTTAATATTTTCAGACCCCAGACCAGTGAAACAGTGGATATCAATCCTGCAGATACAAGGGCTCCTACAGTATTTAAAGCATTTTTACCCCGCCTTTCCCCCAAAACGGATCCAATGTGGCTTACATCTAAAAACAAAAACATTTAAAACTAAAAAATTTTCAGATTTTTAAAAGAATTACATACATATTCTATTACAAGGTTTGGTAAAAGAATGGCTAAAACAGGTTTTAAAAGTGACAGAAATGCCAACCGTCCCATTAAAAAAAATTTGTCTCAGAAACTCAATTGCTCAGGGAAACCCTGCCTGTAGAGAACGGTCTTTGCCTGTTTGTGGAAGGAGCAAAGATGAAAACCAGCCGGGCGTCCAGTGGCAGGGAGTTCCAGAGTCTCTGGGAGCAGCCACCGAGAAGGCCCCTCTCCCACTACTTTGCACCTTTTAAAAAATGTCTTGTGCATACAGAAGAGAAAAAATGTTCGTGATAAAACTAGCAAAATAAGAGAAAGGGGGAAATAAACCTAACCTGATTCTTATAGATGGTATAACCTTCCTTCTCGTGCTGTAGCGCTGACCGGAATTCAGCTTTGCTTTCATACACGCGGGCTACCAGGTGGTGGCTACGGGGAGAAAAAGCAAAGCGGAAGGCGTTTTTTTTAAGTACGAGAGAGGCTTGCTTCCCTTTAACTAGCGACGCAAGCTGAGAAAATGACAAGACGCACACCGATACTTGAAAAAGCAAAATAAAAAGCAAAACAGACCGAAGACAGAAAGGCAGTGGCCCTTTAAAGACAAACTTTTACATTTTTTTAAAAAATGTGAGCTTTCGTAGAAACATATATATTAAAAATATTTCAAAATATCAGAGTTTAAAGAGCCACCACCTTTTTGTCTTTTTAAAAAAACTTACTTCTTTTTTGTTGAAAACCAGCCGGGCGTCCAGTGGCAGGGAGTTCCAGAGTCTCTGGGAGCAGCCACCGAGAAGGCCCTCCTCTCCCACTACTTTGCACCTTTTAAAAAATGCCTTGTGCATACAGAAGAGAAAAAAATGTTCACGATGAAACAAGCAAAATAAGAGAACGGGGGAAATAAACCTAACCTGATTCTTATAGATGGTATAACCTTCCTTCTCGTGCTGTAGCGCTGACCGGAATTCAGCTTTGCTTTCATACACGCGGGCTACCAGGTGGTGGCTACGGGGAGAAAAAGCAAAGCGGAAGGCGTTTTTTTAAAGTACGAGAGAAGCTTGCTTCCCTTTAACTAGTGACGCAAGCTGAGAAAATGACAAGACGCACACCGATACTTGAAAAAGCAAAATAAAAAGCAAAACAGACCGAAGACAGAAAGGCAGTGGCCCTTTAAAGACAAACTTTTACATTTTTTTAAAAAATGTGAGCTTTCGTAGAAACATATATATTAAAAATATTTCAAAATATCAGAGTTTAAAGAGCCACCACCTTTTTGTCTTTTTAAAAAAACTTACTTCTTTTTTGTGCTTTGACCTATAATGCTTGCAACAGGCTCGTGATGGTGGGGGAATGCTTTGACCTATAATGCTTGCAACAGGCTTGCCCTTTCTCCAAACACATGCCTGAAAAACTTATTTATGGCATGAGATTATTACAAAGGGATCTGACCGCAACCTGGCAGGAGCAAGCACAGGGGGAAAAAAGGGATCCGGCTTTGATGCTTAAAGATCAACCCAAAGATGCTGAGACACGCGTGGCCTTCAGTTCCCCTCTTTTCGTCGTCGGTGCTAAAAAGGGCTAGTTAATTCTATCGAACAGGGTGGGCAACCCATGAACTGTAGGGGAAGAATCCGTTTGGTTTTTAAAACAAGGTCGGCAACGTGTCTTCAGCGCCTTATTTGGCGGCAGGACCCTGATACTCAAAAGGGGGCCATGGGCCCAGGCTTCTGGCCACTTCTCGTTCCTATTCGTGGGCTAGTGTGCCCTGTGGATGGCCACCTGGGTCCCAGGACGGGCAGAACGCCCCCCCCCCGCCTTTATGGGTAGACCAGCAAGACTGGTCTCCGGCTCCCAGTCCTAGCGTGAACAGACCCCTCTCTCGGCCTTCGTGCAATGCTCGGCTTCTTTTTATGGGATGGTGCTTCGAAAGGGGAGACCCCGAGAGGGGCCAGGGGCTCGTGGGGGGGGCGGTTCTCACCTCAGTGCAACTTTCAGGGACTTGGCGCCGTGGTATTTTGAGTTGATCACGAGGGCGTTCTCCAGAAACCGCAGGGAGAGGTCGTACTCCATCACTCCGTGGAGGACCAGCCCGATGTTGTTCTGCAGACAAATCACCCAGGACAGTCAGGGTCTGTGCGGGGTGTGTGTGTGTGTCGAACTCCCTGGATTTATTTTGGGCCACCCCCACCCCTCCGGCCTTCCTCTGTTCCCTCCGAGCTGAGCTACAGTCACTTCACTAGAGGTATGTGTGGGGGGGAATGGGTTTTCCTAGGAACAGCATACGGCTTGGCCTTGAGTGGACCATTCAGAGCCATCCACTTTACAAAAGACCCGCTCCTTATTTGTTAAGACTGCCCACATTTCTGGACGCTCCTTGGGCTAGCCGTCAGTGGCTTTGAGCACTATCAGGAGCACCAGCAGGCAAGGAGGAGAAGCCATCCGTCAAACCCTCTTCGAAGGGGGACCCAGTGGGCTGGGGGCCCTTTTCCCAACTCAGATCGGGCTGTGGGGAGGACAGGGTGCATCCCTAGGTGGTCACCCAAATCGTCCCACAGTATTGTGAAGAACAAAGGCACCCCAAAAATTGCCAGTACTTTAAGGATGCAAGGACAGCATCTGGAATCCTATTGTGTCCCTCTACGGTCGGGGTAGGTTTCCCGCAGCTCCTTGCGGCTTCGCTGGGGAAGGTGCAACTGCGCACGAGCAGGTACACGCCCGAAACACAGTCCAACGTCTCGCCAGCGAATGACGGAGACCGGACGTGAACCCCTCGAGGGTATGATTTTTCCTGCTGCAACTCGACTTCCACGCCAGCTTCAAGGAGGTCGATCTGACCTATAAAGCCCTAAACAACCGGTTCGGGATACGAGGAACTGGCGGAAGACCTTCTTCCGTGGGGGACGGCTCGTCCTTCTTGCTTGTCCCAGGCCAGATGTCCGAA